TAAATGTGATTTCACCATATCCTATAACTTCAAATCTCACTTTAAAAAAGAATTCCATTTTATTTTTCCAAAAAGACAATTTTCTCCAAATGGCTACGGCTGCCTTCCTAGCAACCCTGTGGCCCATTAGGGGAGGCCCAGTGGCTGACTCTTCTCTGCATCCACACAGCTGGTTCCACACCCTGTAGGGCGGCTGGACCTGTCCTGCTGCTGCCCTTGGGACAGTCTGGCTCCCTTCCTGCCCTTCCTGCTGGCACCTGAGCCAGGAACACTGTGAGCCCCCAAAGCTCCTTATCTAAACGTTGGCTGCGGGGGTTTGAAGGTCACCAAGGATTTCAGTCTGAGGGTCTGAGGAGGAATGTTGTTCTAGGATGAACCTTGCTGGGCGCCTCTGTGGGCATGGCCTGGGTACAGTCAAAGGGGAGGCCACGGGGCAGTTCTCTCTCCCTGCACATGTTTCCAGTCAGTTGTCACTGGCAAAGCCTTGATGTGACAGTTTCAGATGGGGCTGGTCTCAGAATGGCAGCCATGCTCCCCGGCCTGCCCTGGGCTTGGACCAAGCATGGCAATGTCTGAGTTGCTCGGGCAGCCATAGACTGGGGGCTTAAACATGAGGAATGTGTCTCCCGCTGTTCTGTGGGCTGGAAGACCAAGATTGAGGTGCCAGCAGGGTGGATGTCTGGTGAGAGCTCTCCCCCTGGGTGGCGGGTGGTCGCCTCCTCTCTGTGTCCTCAGTGAGAGAAAGAGGGAGCAAGCAAGCGAGCTGTCTGTCTGTTCCTCTTTTTATAAGGACACTGACCCCATCATGGAGGCCTCACCTTCGTGACCTCATATAACGTTAATTACCTCCTAAAGGCTCCCCTCCAAATGCTGTCAGATTTGAGATTAAGGCTACAAAATAAGAATTTGGGCGGCACAGACATTCAGTCCTCAACAGACATGGGGTCTGCCTCACCTCGCTGCTCTCCTGTTCCCCTCAGCCCCCTCTTCCTTGCCCTTCCGTGGCTCTCTCTGTGTTACAGATAGCAGGAGGCGGGCTTTCTGGGTGTGACAACAATGGCAGGACTTACCTTCTTCTCCTGCAGGAACTCCCCGGATGAATGCAGTATGGCGAAAGGCGGGAAGATGGTGAGCAGCCCAGAAACCGTCGGGATGAATTATGGCGGCTACATGGAAGAGAAGCACATGCCACCCCCGAACATGACCACCAGCGAGCGCAGGGTCATCGTCCCGGCAGGTCAGACACTCGTGGCTCTGCTCTGCCCCACCAGCCGCGTCTTTCTCGAGTTTGTCCACCTGGAGGGAGTGTTCGGTGGTGTGTGTGTGTGTGTGTGTGTGTGTGTGTGAGTGTGAGGGAGAGAGAGAATATCCGTGGATAATAGGGAGGAATCGCCTTTCTCTGAGATTATTTGGTGTCAATCATCCTTTCTTTGATGAAGTGCTATTTATAATAGATGATAGGCTTCAAAAATTTTTTTTTTCTTATCTGGCAAAACAAAAAGTTGGGAGCATTCAGTTCTCTGAATCATGTTAAGATTTCGTTTCTTAAATAAAGCAGTGTCTAAATGGATACCCCTGAAAAAAGTTTCTTCTCCAGGAACTGCCTCTGTGTCTTACTTAGAGCTTTTTTATACATGTGCTGGTTGTCACGTGCTTGCTGTGCTGGGGCAAGAACAGTCCCTGGGCTAGGATGGCATCCTAGAGTTGGAATGCTGTGTGAGTTGCAGGGCATACCTTATAGCAGAGTAATCTGGTTCCGGAAGGTCTGGGTGCCTTTCTGAAATTGAGATCCTATTTTTAAAGGACAGCACATTACTTTAACTTTATGGAGGTGCTCTGTGCAGGGGCTGGGAGCAAGGGCAGTGAGTTCAGGGCTCCCTGCTTCACATCTCAGGTCTATCTCCTCCTGGCTCTGAGACCTGGAGCAGGTCTCTTACTTCTGTGTCCTCGGTTTACAGCCCTGAGAAATGGAGATAAAGGCAGCCCCTGCTATGCCAGGCTGTTGTGAGGACTGGTAACTTTAAAGCTCTCAGAACAGGCCCCCGCATATACTTTTTGGATACTAAAATTTCAAAGAGAATAAACATGGAGAAATAACTGAAAAGTGAGCCTAGAACAACTCAGGGCCCCTCTAACCATTATTTGGACCTATTTGGACAAGCACCTCCTTTGAGTTCTGCAGATAACTGGCCCTGTGGGTGATGCTCTCCATTCTGGGGGATTGACATTCCCTCAGATTTATTACAAAAGCTATTTGAAGTGATCAAAATCATGGCTCCATTCTGGCTTCCTCTGAAGCTAAAGCAAAAATGCCATGGAAAAATGACTGCTTTTTTCATTGTCCTGAAGGTGCAGCTTTTGATAACAGGGTCTGCTGCTCTTGTGTTGCTGATTTTTACAGTGAAAGCTAGAATGGGACAGTTTAGTGAGATGATTTTGTCTTGTGGTCATAAGATGAAAAGAAAGTACCCTTATTAAAAATTGCCCCTGTTTTAAACACTTAAACGTATTTTTGGAAAGCTCTGATAAAGTGCAATCTAATGGCCTATCATATCTTTGCATTTGAAGAGGGATCTATTTTATGCCAACAGGAAGTCTTTTGGGATCCACAGCAAGAGCTCCTGTCCTCACATGCAAATTAAGCTACTAAGCGTTGAAAGAATATGAGTTGGTCTGAAGGGTTCGTAATGCCCAATGTCCACTATTTCTATAATTCTGGACCTCTTTGACCTGTAACTTTTCAATGCTTAATTGCCTTGCTAGAGAAGAAAGAATTTATCAGACCGTAAAAATGGTCTAAATGGATGAGTGAATGAATGAATCTGAACACTGCTCATCCCAGACGTTAAGGTTGTTACCTGAGTTATGCTCATCCTCTGAATAGCAGCTAAAGTCTAATTGCTAAAACACCCATTTGACTTTCTTCCTTAGTAACTTTTTTCTTGAGACAAATAGACCAAAACATGCACACTCCACTCACATAGATGATGGAATGTTCCAAAGGGATCGGAAACTAAGTCGCAAGTGAAGAAATTCACTGTTGATATTAGGATGGGTCTTTTAGAGGTAAATGTTGGAAGCCAGGAAAAATAGCACCAAGAGGAAACAATGCCTGTGCAGGCAGAGCTGGAAATGTAGAGGATCTGCACCATGGGAGCCCAGACTGTTGTTATTTTTAAGTTTCCTTCATGTTGGCACAGCTGTGAGGATGCTGTGAAGCAGGGCTGTGTGTTTCCGGGCCCATGGTGGGGCCTTCATCCTGGGCAACCCCAGTGATGACCTCCATCCACATATAACCAGTCTGTCCCCACTGTCAACCCTAACAAAGCTCCTTCCATCAGCAGCAAGTGACACTGGGAACAAACCTATATTCTCAGCATCCTCAGACACTGAGCAAATGCCTTCCAGGGCACTGGGCCCTCATTCTGCCCTTTCTGTCTACACCCCCACCGTGCTTTTTGGGTCTGGAATGATCTTTGCCATCCCACCTCTGCCTTGCCACACCCAGAGTGTGCCCTCCTGCCTCACAGGATTTTGAGCTTCTTAGACCTGAAGGTTGAGTCCACGCCAGGCCTTAGTCCATGATTCTGCAAGTTGTCTGCAGAGCTCTGACCTCACTGATAGGAACGCCCACTGGGGCAGAGCCCACAACCCTCAGGGCCTTGGACTCTGGGGTGGAAATCTAACATCCAGCGGAGATTCATAGGTTCCCGAGAGTATGAAAATCCTGTAGTATGTAAAGCTTGAGAGGCCATTTCCAGAAGTCCACCTTAGAAGACATAACCCAGTGAGAAGGACCCTTTGGCCAGGTGACCCTGGGTTAATGATCTATGGGTTAACCATCAGAGAAGGTATTAACTGACTTTTTCTGTTTCCTGGTTAAGCTGGATTTTCGATTTGGCATTTCCTATTAAATGTGATTTCACCATATCCTATAACTTCAAATCTCACTTTAAAAAAGAATTCCATTTTATTTTTCCAAAAAGACAATTTTCTCCAAATGGCTACGGCTGCCTTCCTAGCAACCCTGTGGCCCATTAGGGGAGGCCCAGTGGCTGACTCTTCTCTGCATCCACACAGCTGGTTCCACACCCTGTAGGGCGGCTGGACCTGTCCTGCTGCTGCCCTTGGGACAGTCTGGCTCCCTTCCTGCCCTTCCTGCTGGCACCTGAGCCAGGAACACTGTGAGCCCCCAAAGCTCCTTATCTAAACGTTGGCTGCGGGGGTTTGAAGGTCACCAAGGATTTCAGTCTGAGGGTCTGAGGAGGAATGTTGTTCTAGGATGAACCTTGCTGGGCGCCTCTGTGGGCATGGCCTGGGTACAGTCAAAGGGGAGGCCACGGGGCAGTTCTCTCTCCCTGCACATGTTTCCAGTCAGTTGTCACTGGCAAAGCCTTGATGTGACAGTTTCAGATGGGGCTGGTCTCAGAATGGCAGCCATGCTCCCCGGCCTGCCCTGGGCTTGGACCAAGCATGGCAATGTCTGAGTTGCTCGGGCAGCCATAGACTGGGGGCTTAAACATGAGGAATGTGTCTCCCGCTGTTCTGTGGGCTGGAAGACCAAGATTGAGGTGCCAGCAGGGTGGATGTCTGGTGAGAGCTCTCCCCCTGGGTGGCGGGTGGTCGCCTCCTCTCTGTGTCCTCAGTGAGAGAAAGAGGGAGCAAGCAAGCGAGCTGTCTGTCTGTTCCTCTTTTTATAAGGACACTGACCCCATCATGGAGGCCTCACCTTCGTGACCTCATATAACGTTAATTACCTCCTAAAGGCTCCCCTCCAAATGCTGTCAGATTTGAGATTAAGGCTACAAAATAAGAATTTGGGCGGCACAGACATTCAGTCCTCAACAGACATGGGGTCTGCCTCACCTCGCTGCTCTCCTGTTCCCCTCAGCCCCCTCTTCCTTGCCCTTCCGTGGCTCTCTCTGTGTTACAGATAGCAGGAGGCGGGCTTTCTGGGTGTGACAACAATGGCAGGACTTACCTTCTTCTCCTGCAGGAACTCCCCGGATGAATGCAGTATGGCGAAAGGCGGGAAGATGGTGAGCAGCCCAGAAACCGTCGGGATGAATTATGGCGGCTACATGGAAGAGAAGCACATGCCACCCCCGAACATGACCACCAGCGAGCGCAGGGTCATCGTCCCGGCAGGTCAGACACTCGTGGCTCTGCTCTGCCCCACCAGCCGCGTCTTTCTCGAGTTTGTCCACCTGGAGGGAGTGTTCGGTGGTGTGTGTGTGTGTGTGTGTGTGTGTGTGTGAGTGTGAGGGAGAGAGAGAATATCCGTGGATAATAGGGAGGAATCGCCTTTCTCTGAGATTATTTGGTGTCAATCATCCTTTCTTTGATGAAGTGCTATTTATAATAGATGATAGGCTTCAAAAATTTTTTTTTTCTTATCTGGCAAAACAAAAAGTTGGGAGCTGTATATTTCTTGTTCTCAAAATCCAACATCCCAGTTATCACTGGCCGATGATGCAGATTCCAAGAAACAGAGTAATTCTTTACCACAGAAGGAATCCTAAACCAACCCAAAGCAATAGCTCTGAATTTGAGGAAAATGCCAGGAACTTACTTATAATAAAACTGAAAGTAATAGGAAGGGTGACGTAAAGCCCCTCAGAGGGTATGTGCTACATGAAACCCAAGACCTCACAGCAATAGTCCCTGCTCAGTGTGTCCTTATACATACTAGGAGTTTCAGGAAGCAGTGCAGAGACATCGCCTCGTGAGATCTTCGGCAGTAGAGTGGACAACCTTACCACCATTTCCCTGATGTGGAAAAGAAAGCTCCAATGCATCAACTAACTTTCCCAGTGGCTTACAGTTAATAAGAGGCCGTGTCACATTTCAAACAGGTCTGCCTTACTCCTTCGATTTCTTCCCTAGGAGTGGGATTAAATCTCAGCTCCTGACAATGGCCCCCACGGGCTCCTGCCCTCCACTCTGCAGCCATCTGGTCACCCTGAGGTTTGATCTCTAGGGCTGGTGCTTTCCACCCCATCAGCATGACACCCTTGATTCCAGGTGGTTCTGTCCTTCATCAGGGCATTATGCAAACATCTCCTCAGAGAGGTCTTTTCCTGTCACTCGTTTCTGGAGTTGCTCTCCACTCTATCCAGTAACTGTAAATCCCCTGCCCTGTTTCTCTCCATTGCATCCCCTCCCGTCTGCATCATAGTTGCACTGAAAGAATCAATCTGAGGAAAGACCTGTATTGAAGATTCTTGGCTTGGTTCTTCATGGGATCAGAGACTCAGGAGGTAATGCCTGGTGCCACTTACATCCTTTATCCATGAGGTCCTATTCCTGTCCTGCCATCAGTATTCTTTAATGTCATCAATACCCTCTCCCATACGGACAGACTCAAGTCTTTCTATGTTAAAAAAAAATGTTCAGAAAACAGGAGAGATATTTATAAGGGAGAGAGGCAAAGAACCAATCAAGTCAGAGCATCCACCATTTCTGATACATAGTAGTTGCTCATTAAATTTCAGTTGGAAGGATGGTTGCAGATTGGCTCAAGTTAAGTTGCTGTGTAAAGGCTGGTTTCATCTCCTGAAGAAAGTCCTCTTTCAGTGTTCCCTCCTTTGTTGCTTCATGCTGATGCAGGCAGTTATTCAGTTAGGTGTTGGTAAGAGAACTGGTTGTGGCTGATTTTGCAAGTTGTGAGTCTTTCAGTTATTGGTCAAGCTTCATGTATGTGTGCTCACACAGACACAAAGATGAACACACACACATACATGCCAGCTGCATTGCACAATCCAGACATCTCCCCAGTGTGACGAAGGCATGGCAGGACCTAGGGGCAGCTCTGTCAGCTGCTGTACCTGTGCCTCTGCCCTGCTCCAGGATCCAGACATCTATTCAGGCACATCTGGGGCATAACACATTCTGCATGCACAGATGGAATTCTCCAAACCTGGTTCCAGTTGGTTCATACAGTTCCTACTAGTTAAACACATTGACTGACACTCATAAGTGAAATCATAAAGATAGCTGAAAAAATAATATTAATTATTCCTAGATAATTATTAATTATCTACTCCATCAATCAACTACATACTAAGTAAGGTTCATGTCCTAGACTTAACAAGGGTCCTGATGCACACGCACCAGAAAATTGGTATGTAGATCGAGACAGAAAAACAGGACCTGGGGGCATTGTCTGTGTTCAGACTGAGTTCTTGTACTAGGATTCCTCACTTCTCAAAGCCCCTGGTTTTAAGACTCAATCATCATTAATTAACTCAAGAGCTCTAAGGAAACTCATAAAATACCCCTAAGGAATAAATACCTACCTTCACTGAATGTATTTACACTGCCTTCTTACTTCAGAGAAGATTTCAGAAAGCTCACACAAATACACACAAAAGAGTAAGGTAGGATCGATTTTAAAAATAAATGGATAAGAAGCATGGCTTGAAATAAGAGCTTAACGGAGACAGGAACAACAGGAGTGAGGTTTACATGTGCATGTGTTCATATATGTGCTCAGCAGGCAGTGCCAAGGGGCTGCCTCCGTCAATACATGATTCAGTGTCCACAGGATAAACAGAAAACTAATATGGCAAAGATGGCCTGGCTGTTAATTCTGATCCAGAGAAGAATGTATTCCCTGATTAGTCACCAGGAAAATGGACAAGTTATGAGTAAAGCACTCAACCTGTAGGGCCGCCAGACATTTCTGGGAAACCCAGCTTATGTCTGTTGTCCTGGAAAAATTGTTGACTGTGTCTTTCCTTCTCCAATGTACTAGTTAGGCAGTAAGTCACACCTATATTTTGTATCTATTATCTACCTATCTGTCTGTGTTATCTGTCATCCACCTTCTACCTACCTGTCTCTCTGTTTGGTGTGCTTACCTGTGTGTCTAGGTCTACATCTCATGGGTTGGGCTGTGTCTTACATGGTTCCAGATCAAAGTGTCATTCAATGAAACCCATCTTAATAAGAGAGGCCTAAGATATGTGACCTAGTTACATGGCCCTTTGTTGGCTCTACTTAATCTGGAGGCTGACTGGAAAATGTTTCCCCAAGTGTGATTAGACCCAATTGTATCAGGATTACCTGGGAGACCTATGATTTAAAAATGCATGTTCCCTAATTTTCTTAATCTGGTGTAGGGTTGAGGAGTCTACTTTGTTAACACACTCTTTGGGTGATTTTCATGCATTACAAGGCTTGAACAGCTCTAATCTGGGTAGAGGACTAAATAAATTTGACTTTAATGCACCTTAATTATTTTTAGTAAAGGCATGATATGTCACTTTTAGAAGAGGGAGTGGGCAGAAAGGAAGAACAGAAAACAACTAACAGTTTCACACTGATGCTCCAAAAACTGGAAGAAAAAAAAAAGTAGAATCATGTAGGAAGGAACTTTTGTCATTGGTTGACACAGTAGAATCTGTGAAGTCCGCAAGTCAGGGCATACACAGGGAAACACAGGGCTGTTAAAGGCACGAGATACAGTGTGAAAGTCCAGGCAGCCCCCGTCAGCTCCATTCTGACAAGTTGTATCAATTCAAGGCTTATACGCATTCTACTCTGTTTCTATCAACTGCCAAGAAACTTGGACACAATGCAGGCATCTGACTTACAGGTGCTTCCAGTTCTGCATCTCCAGAGCTGTGAACATAAATCAGTGTTTGGAAACAACAGGTCTCCATTGCACAGTGGGACTAATACGTTCTAGAGCATGTAGGTTTCATGAGGCCTCCTGAAGCCTCTGCCATCAGAGACACCGTCTTTCCACGTGCCACTGTGCCCCTGGCAGTCACTGTTACTTCGAGGTATTGACAGCATACTTGGCGATGTGCTAACCACGGGGGCTAACAAAGAGGAAGGCCCAGTTTCCATCCACTTTTCTTGAAAGTTACATAATGCTGACCAAATGCAATAGGACCTCTGGTTTTAGCAGCTTACATCATTTTGAAAGATTTTTCTTTTTCTCGTTTTTATTCCCTAAAATGGGTACTAGAGTGTTGGGCTTTTCAAGCATTTCCACTGTCATTTTCTAAATATCCACCTGGAGCACACACACTCATGGTAATCAGAAGTCTCTGAGATAAGGAGTCACCTACTCATCTCTTCACTGGTGCACACTTTTCATTCTTTCATTGATTTCCTGGGCACTGACAGTGCTCCAGCCACCATGAGTAAAAATCACTCTGACGTGATTTTAAAACCCCTTTTCTTGGCCCCTAAGTGCTGTGGCTGGAACTCCTTGTAGGGTGTCTTACTCAGGTCCTCCATGCTGGGGAACGTCTCTCCTGGGGTTCCTGAGGTAGTCATGAGGACTTGCTCTCATACGAGTCACAGAGGAAATGACCAGAGTCTGTCAGAAGCAGATAAGGCCCATCTGTGTGAAGTAAGTAGCTCACGGCAGGACAGCATGGGATTGAGAGCTCAAAGGAGTTATTCAGACACATGCTTCAAAACATCTGAGGACCGAGATGAATATGAACATGACTGGTCCAGAAAGCTCCCTTTGTCCTCCCATGAAACGATTCCTGAATCCCTTTGACGCCTCACCCGTTTTCCTCTTCCGTGTCCTCCCACCCGTCACAGCGCTCTCCTCTGCGCAGTGTCTTCGTCCACGCTACTCCCTCGATGGAGTGCCCGTCCTCCTTTCTCTGCTAGCAAATCCTTTTCATTCTTCAAGGCATCTTTCAAATCCCACCCTGTCTAGGAAGCCATCCTCGATCTTTTGGCAAGTTAGCTATTTCTCTTACAACATTTTATGAATTCTTTTACTACCACACTTTATTTTGATTCAGATTATATTCTTTGACACATCTATATTCTTACTTCAATATGGATATGCCATTCAATTCCACCAAGGATTTGAGATGCCTTGTGATCTAAAGTACTGATAAACACGTGAACCAAACTACTGATTAGATAGAAGCTCTAGGGATCAGCACCAAGGTGAAAAATGTAAATGGAAAACCAAGAGCATGTGAAGGAAGCACGTAGCCATTTTGACCACCACAAAGTTGGCTGCGATGCTGTAGCTAAGCTTCCAGAAAGGCTCTGAGCTTCCTGGCAGCCAAAATAGTCATTGGGAGAAATAATACCTGCTTTCAAAAAGAAGTTTCCCAGGGAAGGCAGTGTGTTTCCTAGTCAGACTCCTAAAGGCAGGAGTTCTG